TCCTGCATTTATTTTCCAGACCACGAAGTTACAAGAAGAGAACATAGGTGGGTTATAGTTTAACAATATACGCTGGTAACTTTCAGTGAAACAAGACAGATGACATCCCAGTAAGGCAATCAAGTGATCCATTAACAAAAGCCTGATCTTAGCAAACATTCCTTCTCCCCCACAATTTTCCAGTATCTTTACATTGCAATCAGTAACTAGTCTGTCCTTGAGCCAGCAACCTTGCTGTGTCACAAAACTTTATCTTACACCAGAGACTTATAGCCTGAGGAAAATTTCCAGTACTCTGCAAGGTCAATATTTGAAACAGCAAGGCTTTGGAAAACCAGGCACTGGGTAGTACATTTGCTTTAAGAATATTCCACACCTACCTAAGTTCTCCCTTCCTGTGCAGTCACCGCTGCACTGCCTAGGATCAAGTCTACCTCAGGAATTACTTCTGTTGTCATTCATTCAGTTGGCACCTAATTTTTCTAGCACCTACGGATGTAAAAATCTCTCTCTCTCTCTTTTTTCTTCATTAGAATGCTCACTTGATCCATTCCTAATACCTTCTGACCATGATCCTGTCTGCAGTGGCCCATATCTATTCTCAGGGCTCAGTACTTTCCAGGGAGATGGTGGATGAGGAAGAAGGTGGTTGGCCCCACCCATGCCCAGCCCAGGCTCTAGGCCTTACTCAGAGGTGTGTGTGATCTGAAAGCTTCTGGTCAGTCACTAGGTCCAGCACCCCAAGCCCAGCTCCACAGACCAGCTCCAGTGGTGGGGTCACCTTACCCTACAAGTCTTCATTCTAGCCTGCCTGTGGGAACTATTCTTTCTTTCCCAAGGCTCAAAGGAAACAGATCTCTGTGCTTCCAGGGAGGATGAGCAGTCTTCTCTACAGTGTCCTGTGACTGTGTTTGTGACCTCTCAATGTGCACAGGGACACCCAGCCTTGGGCTCGCTCCCCCACGGTGTCAGGTCCTGTAACAACCTCCTCTCTTCTGCACCCCCGGGTGATCTGATGCTTATACTCAAATGAAGATCTATCTCACAGTTGTAATGAAAGAAGAAATATAGCATAAAAATTTAGAAAATTTACAGCCTTCCTGGTAAGGAGTAAAAGGATGTGTGTGGAGAAAGTGACACGTTTGCTGGTGCTGTGGAGTAACCACGTAAACCTGTTGCTGAGGAGAGTAGCCCTGATCCAGGTGCTGTGCATCAGGTAATGGGAAAAATACCCTGAAGGCACTTCAGAGAATTTCCAGGTTGCTGGTCTCATCACAGTCCCAGAGGCCTAGAAATACAGAATGGTGTCAGGGAACAGACCCGGTGCACACTTCATGACGTTCGGATGCTGCTCCTAGTACCCATCTATTTTGGCTACTCCAGCTATGGCTAAATTGGCCCCAGGTGCTGCTAGTTCCACTTCTTTGGAAGATACAAGGTGTAATACTTGGCAGCATCCACGTGGTAAGTCTATAGTCTCAAAGGATGCAAGAGCTGTGGAGGCTTGTCAGCCTCAACCCAGATGACGAAGGATGTAGCAAAAGCCTGGGGTCCCAGGTAGAGATTTGTTGCATGGGCAGAGTCACCTCCAAAACTATAAGAAATAAATTTCATTTATGTATAAATTAGCCAGTTTTATATATTCTGTTATAAGCAACAGAAATAGACTAATACACTAATCAAGGGTGAAGGTGGGGACAAGCGAGGAGGGTCGAGAGGCCAGGCCTGCTGTAATGGGACACAGCNGGGTTCTCTTCCTGCATTTATTTTCCAGACCACGAAGTTACAAGAAGAGAACATAGGTGGGGTTATAGTTTAACAATATACGCTGGTAACTTTCAGTGAAACAAGACAGATGACATTCCAGTAGACAATTAAGTGATCCATTAACAAAAGCCTGATCTTAGCAAACATTCCTTCTCCCCCACAATTTTCCAGTATCTTTACATTTCAATCAGTAACTAGTCTGTCCTTGAGCCAGCAACCTTGCTGTGTCACAAACCTTTATCTTACACCAGAGACTTATAGCCTGAGGAAAGTTTTCAGTACTCTGCAAGGTCAATATTTGAAACAGCAAGGCTTTGGAAAACCAGGCGCTGGGTAGTACATTTGCTTTAAGAATATTCCACACCTACCTAAGTTCTCCCTGTCTGTGCAGTCACCGCTGCACTGCCTAGGATCAAGTCTACCTCAGGAATTACTTCTGTTGTCATTCATTCAGTTGGCACCTAATTTTTCTAGCACCTATTGATGTTATAATCTCCCTCTCTCTCTCTCTTTTTTTTTAGTTAGAATGATCATTTGATCCATTGCTAATACCTTCTGACCATGATCCTGTCTGCAGTGGCCCATATCTATTCTCAGGGCTCAGTACTTTACAGGGAGATGGTGGATGAGGAAGAAGGTGGTTGGCCCCACCCATGCCCAGCCCAGGGTCTAGGCCTTACTCAGAGGTGTGTGGGATCTGAAAGCTTCTGGTCAGTCACTAGGTCCAGCACCCCAAGCCCAGCTCCACTGACCAGCTCCAGTGGTGATGTCACCTTCCCCTATAACTGCTCATTCTCGCCTGCCTGTGGGAACTATTCTTTCTTTCCCAAAGCTCAAAGGAAACAGATCTCTGTGCTTCCAGGGAGGATGAGCAAACAGTCTTCTCTACAGTGTCCTGTGACTGTGTTTGTGACCTCTCAATGTGCACAGGGACACCCAGCCTCGGGCTCCCACCCCCACGGTGTCAGGTCCTGTCACAACGTCCTCTCTTCTGCACCCCAGGGTAATCTGATGCTCATACTCAAATGAAGATCTATCTCACAGTTGTAATGAAAGAAGAAATATAGCGTAAAAATTTAGAAAATTTACAGCCTTCCTGGTAAGGAGTAAAAGGATGTGTGTGGAGAAAGTGCCACGTTTGCTGGTGCTGTGGAGTAACCACGTAAACCTGTTGCTGAGGAGAGTAGCCCTGATCCAGGTGCTGTGCATCAGGTAATGGGAAAAATACCCTGAAGGCACTTCAGAGAATTTCCAGGTTGCTGGTCTCATCACAGGCCCAGAGGCCTAGAAATACAGAATGGTGTCAGGGAACAGACCCGGTGCACACTTCATGACG